AAGTAATCCACCCGATTTTAACTACTTTTCAAATACCTGCTGAATTTATACATTTACTGGAATCAGAAGTTTTCAATCATGGTGAAGCTACAAATAAAAATTCAAATTCAGCATGGAAGCAATTTGGGTTATGGGCTTTTTTGCAACAAGTCTTACCATCGACAAGTAGATTCGTAATCACTGCCAGTACCTCTAGTCCAAGGTGAAATATGCATATCAGCAATGCATAAAGGCAGAAGAAGTTTCATTAGAGCAAACAATAACATCTGAGGCTCTTAGTCGAAATTTAAAAGATAAGCAGGTTATTGCTAGTGTATTAACTAATAAAATGGCAGAGGAAAATATTAATATAAAAGGGTATCATCATATATTCGACCCACAAACTTTTAAGAATGCTCTTGGAGAAACAATGGTGGATCTATTCTCCTTTCCAAGTTCCGGGGTTACAAAAAGTGCAAAGATAGCAGTAGAACAATACTATGTTCACATGCTTGATAGTCCATTGCACCAGTTAAAAGAATTTAAAAAAGAGTTAGTAGAGCACTTTGGTACCTTCACAGGCAATAATAATGAACCCTACACAACTGCAAATACCGCCTCACCCCACAACCAAGATCATTTAAAATGTATTCAAGGATTAATACAAGGCCTTCAACCATTATCAGATGCCATTAATGGCTATATTAGAGACACATATCCGGCCTTGTATATAAAGATGAGAAAACTTGATCTCGGTCCAAATGTTCCAAAATCGTTCAGTAGTTTTCCCACTGTAGCGGTTAATTTCAACATTATCTCCCAGTTCCACCGAGACCTAAAAGATCACCGTGATTCACTTTGTGTGGTCTGCCCACTTGGAACATTTGAAGGTAGACAATTGGTGTTTCCCGAGTTAAGGTTAATAATACATGCAAGACAGGGTCAGGCTATTGCTTTTAGGTCTAACATTTTAGTCCACGGTAATCTTCCTGTTATTGCAGGCATTTGTCATAGTGTCGTTTTTTTTATTCATGCAATATCAATTAAGCAAAATAGAAAATTCGGAACTTTGTTTCATGACACAAATCCGGATGATTTAGATAGTGAAACTGATGTTGGTATGAATATTAATAAAAAACTCGGGCACCAAAAAAACACACTATACAGAATAAAAAACGTCCAAAAATCTCAAAGTCGGGTTCATCATCTTCAAAAGTTAAAAATTCAAGACGAAGCTATCTTGATAAGTATAATTTCTGTATTAGAAATTATTTATAATCATTTTCAAACCCAATATTTATATATATATTTCGACTTATTTAAGATCTTGAACCCGCGAAAAGAGGGTTACTAGCAAAGTATAAAATATGCAAAAAATAATATGATGAGGCATTTGAATGAATGTGTAGAAAAAAGAATTTAATTTATTGTATAAATATGACTATTTGGGTGGTTCCTCTGCTATTTTAATAAAGAATTTATAGTCCAGAAAACTTGGCGCACATACTCACAATTATTATTAAAATTCGAGAAATCTATATTAACATCTTTTTCCTGAAAATAGAAGTTTCCAGAATTGAAATAGTCAATTTTTAGAGAATTACATGGATATGGTTTGCTATACAATTTACACAAATATCACGCATATTCTGAAGTTTTAATGATGTTTACTTTGCCATGTTCATCAATATGGTAATATTCAGGATTCGATAGCTATTTTAACATATAAGTCTATCCTGAATATTCAATGATTCTATAGCCCTGCTGATGTAATACTATAAAAGCAACTATATATGATACAAGAGATAATCGATTATTTAGCTGTTCTTTCTTCTTTTCTGCCTAGACGTTAGGAAGATAATAATCAAATAAAATAGATGAATTCTGATAATGTGCAGGCACGTCTTTAGCTTAAATTTTTTGGCCAAAATAATCTATATATCGATTATCATGAATTCTTATACAACAAGGAGTTATATCTAAAAACTTCTTCTCATTAGGAGTATTATCATTTCTCACCATATTCCAAACTCGACTTGCCCACGTCTCGGGTCTCAACTTGTAAGTCCTCCAAGCCCGTTGAAAAACCGTTACAGTGTTAATTATGCAAACTACAATCTTTTTCTTGATTTTATTTTCATTTGAATATTGATAATCATAATCATAATAGCTCAAACCTTTACTATATATAAAATAATATTTTCCGTAAATCTCCTCAATCTCATCAGAGCTAAGCATTGATATTTTCCCCTCTTTTTTCACATTCTTTCGTACAGGATTAGAATGTATATTAGTGGTTTCAGTAATACAGTTCTTTAGGTGATCATTTGCATATTCGATTGTATTTTCACAAATAAAAACTAAGGAGTCGCATATAGTGCAATAAATGTGGAATGAGCGTCTTCTAGCATTAAATTTCCCATCTATATATACTCTTTCGATCATTTGAATAAATCCATTCTTGGAGAAGTATTTTGAGTTATGTTTGAGAAGTTTTTTAAATAGACAACGAATACGAGAACACTACATTTCTGGTGTTTCATCACTATAACTATATTGCAGATTGTTTAACGCCTGCACTACTTCAGAATTTAAACTAGAATAGTAGTTATGGTTGGTTTTAACCATTTTTTACTCTTTATAGTTTATTGCTAACTCTAGTGATTATAGCGTTTTTTAGCAATTTATATCGTTTTTAGCGATTCTTTATCAACCTATATTAAGGAATATCGCGATTCAAATTTGTAGCCGAAAACGAAAAAAAATATAAATATACACTTCATAGATTTTTATTTCACATCGACACTTTCTTGCATATATTGCAAGTAAATATTAATATATAAATTTTATTTCCCAATTGTGATCTCAAGAATAGCATTAGAAAAATGGTGAACAGACTGCAGTATATAACGAATAAATATATTTAATTGAGTCTATCTACTTGGATACCTTTTCGGAGTACATATTGTATGCAAACTACTATTAGTTATAGATGTGTCAAAGGTAATCAATTTCTACATCTCTGAGCTTGCGAGAGCGCAGTAAAAAGTTTTATGAATTAGCTGAGGTATTTTTTTCCTTCCGCTTCTGCCTTGCCTCTATTTCTTTCTGCAAGTTCAACGGTGTGTCAAATCTTAGCCGAATTGCTAGAGGATCATCCTCTGACCTAGTGAGATCAAATACAACAAACTCACCTTTGCGGAGGTAGCTATTAATAACTATGGATGCGCTCTTTACATCATCAGTATATTGTCCAACAATCTTAGATACATCTTGAATACTGCTACCAGAGTTAAATAATATTAAATGAGTTGAGTTTTCATGAATGAATGTATCGACTTTATGATATTTTTGTATTATATATATACATGAAATATTTCGGTGATGTCCATTCCCAAAAAACTGACCAATTCAATTTTGTATATGCTCTGGAGCTAAACATAGATCCTCAATAATAATTAACTTGCTTCTTTCAGATGAGAAAGTTCTTGTACTAGGAATTTTTTTAGGAGGAATGTAACTGAAACTAATATCCTCATAGTAAGGTGCTTTTGGGTCTTTTGAAATTAGATTATATATATATCTCATATATGCCCATTTTGGCTCATCAGGATGATACCTGCAAATAATTAAATCATCACATTTAATGTAGCGAGACCCACCCTTTTTCCCTCTTTGCACATATTCATCCTTATTACCAAGAACAAGATTCGCAAGTAAATTAGTCTTACCTGTATCACTTCTCCCAGTAATTAACATGCTAAAAGGCCATGTCATCACCGGATGGCCAATATTTCAGGATGATTCATGTTTTGTGACTTCATCCATATCCAAAAGACGAAGTTTCATAGAAGGTATTTCTGTCTTCGAATTCTTCCGCATAGTGGGTTAGAATTTCGTATCTCTGATTTTTATTAAAGGGAGTTATATATTTTTGAAAAAATTTTTCTTCATTAAGAGGTGATATAAAAGAATATAGATGAGTGAATATGGACTGCAGGAAGTATATGATTAGTAATAGTATTATAAGAAAGATCGCAAACTGAAAAAAGTAAGTATCAAATTTTTTATTACTGATAGGTGCTACTGAAGAGCGGTCTCTATAGAGACCCCAGGTGGTTTCAGGGCTAGCATTATCATTACCTTTCTCCTATTCGCTAACACCTGGTCCCTCTAAAACCTCTCCAGCCACTTCAGATTCACTAAATGTTTTTGGGATCTGTTTGGCTAAATGAGCTTTATTTAGGACTGCTTCTTTAAGGAGGGTGTCTTTCTTTATTAATGCTCTTTGAGTTGTAACTAAATTATCTTTCATCTGTGCTAATTCATCTTTTTTTTCGGCTAATGTATCTTCTAAATCTTTTTTCTCTAGATCTAGATAAATATTTTTAGTAGATAGTTCTGCGTTTTCTAGTTCTAATTTACGTTTGAAAGAATCCATTTTTGTTAACTCCTTCTGTGCTAAAGAAACACCCTGCTCTAATTCTTCTACTCTTGATTTAAGAGCCCGTATCTCTTCCAATTTTGTAGCAATCTCGCCTTTGATATTATCAAAGGAAATATCTTTGTGAGTGATCTGATTTCTGAGTTCTCTCACTTCGTCTTCAAGCTGATATACACGCTCTGAAAAGCTCTCATTATTTTTTATTAAGAGATTGCATCTAGTACCAAGCTGAATACTCAAGCTCAAAGCAATATCTAGGTCACGCTTTGTACAAGTAAGTTGGTTTTCAAGCTCTGTTCGGCTAGGCGAATATCGATTAAATAGTGAATTCCCAAGTTTATTGCCAGATAGAGCTAGCCCGCCATTTATTTCATTCAGCATATACACATTTGCTATATAATTTTACTTGAAGGTAGATATTTTTTTTTTCTTGAAAATTTTTTGGTAAAAAGAATCAAAATTAAACCAATAACAAACCAATAATAAACCAGTTTAATATTTAAACTATATATATCTCAAACCTATTCTTTATTTGGATCATGATTATAGCAAGCTACGTGATAAGGAAAGCAAATTTCCTATATATATCAAACTAATATTAGACCAATATCATACCAAGACCAAATAGATTGCGAATAAATTTTTTACAAGTTTTTTATTAGTATTATACAAATTTATTATTAACAAATTATGAGTAAAAAATTATCAACCCATACTCGTAAATTTCTTAAATCAGATACCACCCGCTTGTCACCTGAAGCCATTAAAGAAATCAGAAATACTCAGAATAATATTCCAGATGCTCGACGTATTATGTGTAAAAAACATCATATAGGAGCAACAATATATCAAAAAATTATTGATAATCAAAGGCCTCCTAAACCAACTGAGGAGTGGCGTAGAATCTTAGAATCTGTTAGCATCTCTAATCGGATTTCAGAAAATAACCAAGAATCTTTACAGCTGGTAAGTGCTGAGCATGATACCTCTTCTACTAACATACAAAAAGATGAGGTCGTTCATACAGAGCACCCTAGAGATGATGAAGATAGTGCAAATTCCCATATAAGGCTGAATACAGTAACTAGCGAACAAAAAGATAAGGTTAGTGGAAAAAAAAAGGCTAGTACAAAGGCAAAAGACGAATCCTCTCCAGTGGAAAAAAATAGAATAATCAATTTTTCCAAAAATGATACATCAAGACGGGAATCTGATCTTAATAAATTATTAAATATTACTGGAAATATTGTTACGCATCCAATCTTTTCTCCATAAGCTTAGAGTATCTTTCAACTAAAATTTTACTTGCATTTAATGCTAAGTCAAGCTATCCCTCAGTTTTTAAGAGACGCTTTTCAAGCTCTTTGCACTTTTTTTTAGATCATCCTCACTAGTCAGGCTGGAGGAATCGGTAAATACTTGGATTGAATCATGTGGACCCTCTAGAATCTGTTTTTCTTTTGGTGGATCCTTAGCTACTGGGGCCTTGCTATATGTTGGGATAGTGTAAGTCTTTCCATATAACTTCATTCGGAATTGATTTTTATTCAGATCAAGAATACCTTGAACTTTTCGAATCCATGTCATACCTAAACATA